ATACTCTTTCGATATTTAATAATAATAAAAAAAAAATTTGCTTTCAAATTGAACTATAATTATTTGGTATATCCAATATATTGCAACATAATCATCTTCAATAATAATAAATTATTTTATTTATTAATTTTTCAAATGAAATTCGATTACTCAAGCAAAAACAATAATTATTTTAAAATTTGTTTAACATTAAATTGGTAATCATTATTCAGACATCTTATTTTTTTTCTAACAAAATTGATAATTATAATTATATGTATAGACGGCGGAGATATCGGATCCAAAAATCAATTAATAATAAAAAAGAAAAATAAATTCTTAATATAGAATTGTATGCCGTCGTACAATAATAAAAATATCATAATGAATACAATGTTTATCAACAAAATTATTCCAGTATATTGGGATGCATTTAAAGTCCCATAATCATTATAAAATACAATGTAACAGTAAGAATAATTATTTAAAATTTTAAAATTCCATATAAAAATTGAATATATATAAAAGTAATAATTTTTTAAATAAACACAATCGAACAAATAAATCGAATCGAATTACAAGAAAAATAAGAACCAAAATATTTTGCAAAAAGTAACTAAAGTAGCTGTTTGTATAGGATATTTAATTCCTTTTTTTTTTTTTGTATTTTGAATATTAAAATTTCATTGTTATTGCATAAAGATTATTAAAAGAAGTTGCAAAAAAATCTTTGTATAAAATTTAAATCTTAAAAAATATTGATATAAAACTTGTGCTCTGATAATTTTGCAACCCTTCCCATTTCTTTAAATTTTTTTTTGTACCTATACTCTTATGCCCAAATTTGACTTCAAATTCGTATTATGTATGCATGTATGTAAAAAGAAATTCAGGTCAAATAAAAATCTGAATATTTGTAAACAAATTATGGGTCGTAATTTTAGCAACAACAACAAGCACAAATCTTGTTATAACTATCCTATTACTTACTTTTGACAAAAAAAAATTAGATGCATGGTAATAGCGTTAATTTAAGGGGTAAAAGCAAGATGTAAGAGAGTTTTGATTACAAAATTTTTCGGATATTTAGACTATAAGTACGAAGTAATTTTTTATGTTGATCTTAAATCTCAATTATGAATGAGGTATATGAAAGTTACAAAAGTTTGCTTGTCAAAGACTTTTATTATTATAATGGTCTTATTACTGCCTATAACACTAATCAATGTATAAAGTAACAAATCTAATGTTTACATTATAAGCGTGAATTATATAACAATACCAAACGTTTATATTTTAATTTGGCGAAACTTCTTATACTTAAACACAATTTCAAAAGGGTAAAATATTTGGATTTGAATTTCTTAAGAAAGGCGAAATAATTATGGTAATAACAATGTTAATCCTATTTATTTAACTATTTTAAATTTTTTTTTTGCAAACTTTTGACTTCCGTCTTTTATAGCTATTATATAGTATTCCTTTTTATCTAGACTAGAAAATTGGTTGAATGTATTGACATTCATAAAATTGATGGTAGGGAAATTTGGTTTGTTTTTCATTTGATTGATGATTTAATAGCATTTTTATTGAAGGGATTTTATAAGTTTTATGAAAGATTGTAGTGAATCTGTCAAGATTATGTTTTGTTTAAAATAATAAAATCATGAAATAGCAAAAATTGTTTTCAAATTGATAATTGATTTAATAAAAATGTCTTGGGTTAATAAGATAATAGCAGTTTTACAAAGATAATATGGAAGTGGGCTGGAAGAAAAATTACTCAAAAATTATCTCATATGCTCTTAAATAATATACGTATTTTAAATTTTCAGTTTTTAAAAATATGTTCTTCTTCAAAAAAAGATTAATGTTGCCACAAATGACACTAAATTGCATTTAAAAATCTAATATTTGCAATTGCTTAAAAGTGTGTCTATAGGCAAAGAATACATGAAAGGCAAACATTACATGTTCTATTTAAATATTCGTTGCAAGTCAAATTGTCCATATATTCACTCCTAATCATTTAATAGAGCAATTCACTATCACAGTGCCTCTCAACAAAAATGATGCAAGCAGTTTTGGGATATTACCATTTTTAATGACAAATTTTGCAAAATGGATTTAAGTTTTGCATTGAGTTTCTGAAAGATTATGCCAGGTGCATTTTTGGCGTTTTAAAAATGCTTTGAAAAATCTTTGAAAATCCCATATCTTTTATTTTTATAAGGAGCTCATGCGTAATATGTATCACATCTTTTTTATTAAACAATAATATTTCCACTGATTCTGAACTGAATTTTGTTAATTTATTTTTACTTAGTTTGAATATTAAAACTAGAAAGATGATTCCATTTATTTACATGTCTATTGGTTCTAAATTAAATAAATTAAAAATTGTTTTGTTTTTTAATTTTAAAACTCCTTTAAATTTACCACATTTTTTAAAATTTGTCATAAAATGGCATTGTATTTTGCTTAATCTAGCATAATTTGCTCAATCAAATGTCCCAACACTAAATGCAAATGAAAAACATTTAAAAAGCGTATATTTGTTGGAGACTGCATAAATATAAGACGCATTACCTAAACTTGAAGAAATTATAAGAACAGTAATTATATTTTTATTTTAAATATTTAAAAATCTTACTTTTTGATAACACACTTATCATATTACTCTTGCATACTTTAAACTTTTTTTAAAAATCTATAAAAAAGTTTAATGTCATGGCGTTTTACTGCCTATTTTTGTTTTATTTTTCTAAAGTAATGAGAAAAGTAATTGCTTCGATACAATAATAATTATCATTATTCTCTATCAATAATTAGCGAAAATTACTACACTTTTTGTGTTTTATGGCCTGATTTAAGTATTGAAAATAATTGATTTTAAAATTTTTGAAAAAATTAAAAATTAATTTAAAGATAGAAATAATTAAAAAAATAATTATTCTTATTTTTATTTTATTCTAACGAGCCAGGGATGTGGAAAACCTTATGAATAATTTAAAAAAAAATTTTATTGTTTTGTTTATCGAATGTTTTATGTTTTTTGTAAATTTTAAACTATTGCAAAATTTAAGAACATTGGTGCCTGGTAATAAGGAAAAAACTACTAAACTTGACTTAAATAGTTACCGTAGAGCACATCTAAAATAAATTCGAATTAAAATACGAATAATTCGCATTGTAATTAATAATACAGGCCCCATAATATTATATAATAGAAAGTAAGTCACATGTTGTAATAGTTGATCTTAATTATTTGATACAATAAGAAGGTGAATACAGCTCTTTCAACTTTCATGAAGCTAAGCTGTGCTCTGTTTTAAAATACGCCTAATTGTACGGGATACTTTAATTAGGCAATATTTTCACTCATAAATGCACAAAATATTTTCCTTATATTCTTTTACATGTTCTTCAAACTTTACAAATTACAACAAAATTGTTATTTTAATTGAGCGCTTCTTATACAATTTTTAATGTCAATAAAATTTTTGGCTCTAAAAAAGCTATAATAAAACAAATTTTCTAGAAAATTTTTGTTATAACAGAACACAAGTTTTCGATATTTAATTCAATACCTAAAAGAATGTTTTGAATTTAACCAACAATAATAACGTTATTAATAAGAATTCATAAAAGTGTGAGACCGTATAATGTGAGTTCTTATAATTTTCTATAACAACTCATTTTTTGTTATACATATAAAATGAGAAAATTCAAAGGTTCATTACAATTTGCATTTGAACAAAAAAAAAATTTAACTTTCATTATAATTCAAATTTTTGTAATTATTATAAAAGACTTTCCATATCATTAATGACATTTTCTTAAAATAATTAAAATTTTCTGCATTTTTAAGAGTATAACGGTTAAAAATACAATCAATTTAATGTTATGTAAATTTTTTCCTTAAAAATTTAAGAAATTTTGTTCAATGATTATTATTTTTCCAATTTCTTGTTATTTCTTCATATTTCTTCATATTTCGTCGTCCTTGAAAAGAACTCCGAAAAAAAGGATTGTCATATCTCTTTTTCCAATTAAATTCTATATAACAAAAAATTCTATATTTCTCTCTCATCATACCCTTATTATATAATAATATACAATAAATCTAAAAATAACATGATAAAATTGACCATTGGTCAAATTTCATTATTTACTTAAGGAACGGTTATTGTATATTGTTTAATTAAGGATGAATAGGTCAAATTCTATAACAACATTAAAGCAGTTAATTATCTTGATGGATCGGATCGTCTTCTATAAGAAAATATTAAAAATTAAACTTTTGTGAAACCATAAAAAAAAAATTATTAGATAATAGAAGGAAGTTATTGAAGGTATTTAATTTGTAATTAAATATTTGCATAAATTTTAGTCCCAATTTACATAAATTTTACTGGTATAGGGAAGAAATACAGGTCAAGTAATATTTTTGTTTCTAATCAAATTGCAATAGAATGAAATATCCTTTGGGTACATAATAATAATTTGAATGAATAATGTTGACCTATGTCTTGACCCATATTGTTGCAATATCATATTTACGATATTGTGAGCAAATAAGAAATGATTCGTGACAAATTTTTAAATTTTAATCAAGTAAGCTTTTTTATACAGGAACTTACAAATAAAATATCTAATTTTGTTCAAAACGAAAAAAAAATCATTTTATATTAAAAATTCTAGAAAATAATGAAGCCTAAAATAATGAAGCCTAAATAATTTTCTAAATAGTGCTCTAAACGATCAAAGAATTAAACCAAGTTTTTCAGAATAAGAACTTGCAACAAGAAGATAAAAGCAAAAAAAATTATGAATTTCGTTACATCCGAAATTTCAAAGACATTATAGAAAAAAAAGTTAAAAAATCCAAGGCATAATTTTATCATCCAGTCTATCTACAAGAATTTAATTAACATCAATCTACATATAAGACTTTTTTTAATTTTCTTACACTTCAATTATTTAAATTCCACATTAACATCTTTAAATTTTTTTTTTAGGTAGCAGCAGAGATGAGTATGGAACTTCAAGTGGTAATCATCACTATCTTCGACATCATAGATCTCAGCAACAACAGCAACAACAACAACAATTAGAAGATCAATATCAAAATCATCATTCAAGTGGAGGAATATCAGATTCATTTAATTTTGGTGATTTAACACCAATTGAATCAAGAAGATTAAATAATAGTGATTGTACAATTAATACCAATAGTAGTAATAATAATAATAATAATAATAATAATAACAATAATAATAATAATAATAATAATAATAATACTAGTAATAGCAGTAATAATAATCATCATCAACAAAACAATCATTATTCACCAATGGATAATTCAAATTCAAGTCCATTTCAAGAAAAAGTTTTATCTGAATTAGATCGTTTACAAGATCCAGCAACAAATGGTTTAGATGTTCGAGAAGATGGTATTTATGCTAAACAAAATTTTAGTCGTGGTTGTCGATTTGGTCCATTTCCCGTTAAATGGTATAATGAACCAATTGATGAAAATTCAGCATGGGAGGTAAGTAAATTTAAAATTTTGTTATATAATTTTTTATAGGAATTTTCTAAATGAATTGTAGAATTCATTTCGTTTGTTATAGTAGAACTATACCAACAGTTGGAATATAAACTTAATTGCTTGAATCGTCCATATTGCCTTTCGTCTTTTCTTTGTATACGTGTATCGGTACTATAATTTTTTTTTAAAATCCGATGATTATGAAAATCTGTTATTGAACGAATTAATTTAAAATATTTCCGTTAAATTTTAATCCTTTTAATATTCTCGCTTATAGACACAAAACATGTGTTCACATAATTCTATACAAATAAAAATCTTAAAATTTTATACATACATACATTGTATATGATTGAATAAATTTTGAATTAAATTGACATTTTATAATAGAATAAAAAGATATGACAATCTCTATAAAAACAACAATAAAATTTCTATATATTTTTTTTTTTTAATTTCAATTGCCAATATTGTTTGATTGTTATTAAAGGAAAATTATACTGAATAAATATTGGATGAGAAAAAAAAATCGCTCGGTAAACCTTCCTTTGTTACAATTGCCATAATGAAATAAAAAATCTTTGCCCTGTTTCTTCCACAGTATGTTTAAAACTTACCTCAACCAAATCAGAAAAAATTTATACAATTTAAATTAAACAATGAGGAGGAAAAAAAATAAAGATTATAAGTGTCAAATATAAATATTTGTCTATTCTTGTTCTCCTTCGTTTAATATAAATATCTTTGATAAAAAATGCAAGCAATATTAAATATCCTTATGAGCTATAAGGATATTTACGAAAACACAAAAAAATTTTGATGAATATCAACAAAAAACTTTGAGTTAACAGAGATTTGAAACTCTGTAAAGCACAAAATTGAATTTAGGTATTTATGTTTCGGGAATGTAAACCGGAATATGAGGAGAAAACCTTATATTCAGCCCTATTATGAATTTTGTTTGTAGCTCTGAAAATCAAAAAATTACGAATATCATATTCTGCTCCAAATATTTGTTATGGAGTAATCACAAATTACGTTCGTAGTAAAAATTACCCTCAATCTTTGAAAGAAATAATCACACGTAACAAGCGATTCCAAGAGAATGTCCGTATTAAATTTTCAAGTTTTGAGTTTGAGTTACACTAATACAGCTACTATGAATAGAAATCCATTCATATTGCCAAAGCAATTTTTTTTCCACTTTTCAAAAATATTCAAAAACTAAAAAACTGGAAAACTTTCATACAAAAGAATATTTTAAAAAACATTCGTTTTATGAATAATGTCCGGAAAAAGAAACTGCCATTGGTGACTCATAATTCTACGTGATCATTCAAAAGTTTACGTTGTAGTTATATTCGTAATTCGTAGGATTCTACGAGTGGAAAACATAATAGAGCTGAATATCTATCCTATTCTAGGTCCCAGAATATATTTGTATCATTTACTTTATATTTGATATTTAATATTTTTAAATATTATTTACCTCAAATTGGGGCATAAGCGCCCATTTGAACAATAAATATGTAAAATTTGCTCCGTTTAAATTCTATGAATTTTTTTATACATTAAATGACACAGTTTTGAGCTAAAAACTTTTGACTTCTAAAATTTATCCTCTCTTCTCGTAAAACATCTATCTTGAGGTCACTCTTATATTTCTTTTATTTATTTATATTCTGTATAATGTTTAACATTATCTTCATTTTAGTACTTCTCTCATATTCTCAGCTTTTATACCCTACACTTTAGTTTATTTGAATTATTTGTCGTTCACTAAATACCACTAAATTTTTTATAAGTTGCTTCTGTCTGTCAGAAATCTTGTATTGTTATTGCATTGCTATTGTAATTTGAAAATAATTCGAACAGCTGGTAGCTGTCATACAGCTCTAGAAGATTATTTTAAAAATTTCAAAAACTTTATACTAACTTATCCCTGTTGGTCAACGTTTCGCCACTATTTTGTCTATGTAAGAATATAGTTTTCATTAAAATATTGGAAACATTTTGCAATTTCCTCAATGCTAAAACATATTTTTACATAATAATTTTAGGCTAGGAAAACAAAAACCAAAAACAATTACAGTCAAATATTAGTCAGTATTTATCAGACATCTTTCATAAAAAATGGAAAGAGATAGACTGATAAATAAAAACGAAAGAGAAAAATATTAAATAAAATTGTTTATAAAGATAAGTTTATAAAAAAAAAAGAAGACGAGGGTTTCTATTTAATTCATTTTTTATTCTTTAATTAAAAACTATCCAATTTTGTTATAAAATTGTTATACTTACTATGTTTAACCTACTACTATAACTATACTATACAAGGGTATGAAAAATAAACAAAAATTATTTTGTTTGTGTTTTTCCTTTTTCTTTCAATTCAATATCCTGACAAACTCAATTGAGATTGAGTTGTTTTCTGTTATTGTATTTTATAGGTGAGAAAATTGTATAGGTTCTTGTATGTACACAATCAATTTGTTACCGGTAAGAATTTAATATTTTGAAGTGTTTATTTTTGATATTCTTCCCGAAATATCATATCATATCAGTTCATGAGAGTGGGATTGTTACATCTATATAAAGTATGTAGGTATGTAGATACATATGTGAGCATTATATTAGAATTGAAATATTGAAGGGAGAAAAAATAGGCTCATGTCTAATTTAGAGGGCATTTTGTGGATTTACGGTTATTTGTTCTGTATCAGTGTCATTTTATAAATTTAAAGTCTTCAATGGTAAAACTTACAAATAAAATTATTTATAATGATTTCCAATTGTTGGAGTTGTTGTTTTTATGATTTCGATATTTTGTTTTTTTTTTCTTTTCGGAAATTAAGAATTCAATTTTATATATACATTGAGTTTTGTCTTTCGATTTCATATCAAGGATTAGCTTCCTTTTTTTTTCAAAAAAAAAAAATGTGTGAGCCTTTTTATTCTTTTACGGAATTCGCTACGGTTAGTGTACAAAGAGTCTTATTATGAATTTTGTTAAGTATTGTGAAGATTTAAATTAAATTGTAAAATTGAATGGTAAATATTTTTTTTCGTGTGCTGTCAATAATATCAGAAAAATTAGTTCAGATAAAGAAGAGTTTTAAAAATAGAGAAATCGAATTTGGTATTATTAGAATGAATTTTTCTTCTTCTTCATTGAAATTTGATTGACAATTTTTTAATTCTTTTATATGAATCTAAGGCAGCATTATGTATGTAACCTTGATTTTGAAATTAAATTAACATTCATGGGTTAAAATAAAATTTTTTGTTTTGGTTTTTTGAGAAAACTAGGTAATTAGATTATTTCTTTTCTCTTTGAAAATGGAAAAAAAAATTTTTTTGGTTGTTTCTACTACAGTTCACACATAATTTTTAAAACTGTCAAAGATATTTATTTCTTAAAATATTTTTGACTTATTTTAAATCTAATCTATAAGATTTATAAGCCCTTACAATATAATAGGGGCTGTAAATGGCTGTAATTCTAGAGGCTGCAGAAATTAAAATTTTAAAAGCTAGAATCGCTTAATTTAGAATTTTCGTTAAAAGCAACCTCTTTAATTACAATTTTTTAATTAAATCTGAATGTTATAGAATTATGCAAAATTGTGACGTTAGTCAAATTTTTTAATTATTAACAGTATTGTCCGCTATCCCATAGTCATGGTAACTAAAAGTATTACACGCCTATTGCGACTAACTACACAATTTACTTACTTACACAATTTAAAAAGGGGGAGATCAGTGCTCTAACTTCAACTGTACACTTATATCGAAACATTTCAAAGTCTTGAATTCGACATTTTTTTTGCATATAAATCGGCGATAAAAATGTGTGTATCTCGAGTGTAGAAAAATTTATGCTTGAGATATAGACATAAGTGGATGTTTTTGATCAGCATCAAATTCTGAGCCGATTTAACATCGTCTTCTCGTATATCCGTCCGTCTGTCTTTCCCACTGATTGATTATGTACATACGTGTAATATCGAAATTTCGTGAAAAGTACATTATTGGCGTTGTTGTTGCGATAAAAATCGTTAAAGTTTCTTGATTTCTTGTGGTAGCTGCCATACAACCTCAATCGTTTTTTGGGATCATATCTTGGAAACTATTAAAACTACAGTACTGAAATTTGGCATAAATTAATATTTGAATAGGGCAACATAAATTCGTAGTCTGTTCATAGTCAGCTATGGGATATTTGTTCGCTCATGGGAAAATAAATTCAAATGGATATCACAGATTTGACACGATCAACTCTTATTTTTTCTCCTTTTAATAATGAATTCAATTTCAATACAAATTGAGTTGCGCTCAAATTTTATCTATTGTGTCATAATTCATGATAAATTTTCCATAATTTTAAAAAATACTTGAAGTGTTTCATTTAAATTAATCTTAAATTTTAATAAAAATAAGCATGCTAAAAATATAATATCGTACAAAAAAATATAACGTAAAAATTTATTAAAAAGTGAAGATCAAAGTTCAAAAATAAAATTTAACCATATTTTTAATTTTTCAAAAAATATTTATGAATTTCATTAATTTCCTGCAGTTCATCATAATTCCCAAGACAATTTATTGTAGATAAAAATCTTTTAATCAGCATTTTTCACAAGATTTTGTCGCAAAACGATGATAAGACTATAATAATAGTTTTATCTTTTCATGTGTACCCTATGAGTTTATGATAGATTTTTTGGCAAATTTAATTTTGTTTCTATTCATGTTTTGTGGAAGTGAGTGTATGCGATGTATGGTCAATAAATTATACAATAATTTGTATTTGATGTGTAGAATGTTATCTTACGAAGTACATAAATTATCATCTGTTTAAAAGAGTCAGTTGACTTATACATTTTCAAAACGTGTATTAGATGAATCCGCTATGTAATGTTCTGCCAAAGGCTTAATTCATTTTATTTAAATATGGAAATAAAAATAATTGTAAATGAGCATTTACTTTACCACATTAGCAATATTTTTGAAATTGTCCTGTTGAGAGTGTTTAAACACAAAAATATTAGCTTGGTCGGTAACAACTTTGTAATATAGTTCATAATCACGTTTCACTTGAAAAATGAAAAATATCGAAAATTTACAGAAAAAAAAGGATATTTCAGGAGTCCTTTTTAAATTGGTGTTATCTCATGTTAAGTTTCTTTATTAGTTTTACCTGAAAAATTTAAAACAAAAATTTTGTTGTTAAAAAAAATTCTTTACTATCACTTTGTAACTGTGAGGATGATCCTTAAAAAGGATAATATTTGAAAAAAAAATAAAACTACTTTTTTTCTGCTAGTCCTTTTCAATTTTTTTCCCTGTAAAGATGTGATCATCCTTTCTTATAACACATTGTTTTCTTATGTATGGTAGTCATGTTTTTATTTGTTAAAAATATTATTGAACGTTCTTCAATTATAAAAACAAACACTAGAGTAAATTGATTTTGCAAAGTAAATGAATTCCTTTTGTGGTTTTCACGGATGAAAAATTTTTACGAAGGTATACAGGATTAAGAAGATCCGATAATTATATAGTTTTATTTGTTTAACTTTAGTAAGTTGCTTGCTTTTCTTGTTTGAAACGATCTAATTTAATTAAGTGATAAAAAAATGTGATAATTTTGGCTTTGATGGTTTCCGAAAGAAATATTTAAAAAATTAAATTGCTTGTATGTACCAAAATGTGTGTAAATTTAATAGATTAAATGTAAGAATATTCCAATTACCAATTTTGGCTTTTAGATTTCGTGTGTCTTATTAATATTAAATTTATGCTCAGGTCAGCTGTGTAAGCATGTAAAGAGTTAGAGTCTTCGGAAGGATTATTTTTGTAACCTGACTGAATTACAAAATCAACACTATTCTTTTAACAAATAGAGCTGTATTGTTACATTTTTGGAAAACCAGATAATTATTATTTTAAAT